AAGGAGTGTCCCCAGCCTGAAACCCGAGTCAGGCTCCACCTGCACCTCCCACCTGCCAGTTTACTTTGGGGGCGGGGAGGCTGAGCAGCAGGAATGTCCTGGGACCTGGGCAGCTCTACCCCACCCCCAGTCACCTCTTTGTCCACTCCACCTTTGCCTTAGAAAGTTCCAGGGCCCCAGGATGTCATGGTGGCCCGGGCCTGTAACCCCAGTGTTCTGGGAGGCTGAGTCAGGAAAGATGGAAAGTTCAAGCCCAGCCTGGCAATTTAGCAACTCGTTGACATCCTGTCTCAAAATAAAAGAAAAATTGAAAAAGGGCTGGGAATGAAGCTTAGTGTGAAGGCCCTGGGTTCCATCTCCAGTACAGCAAAAAAAACAAGGAAAAGAAAGTTCCAGGCCCTGAATTCTGGTGTTCCTGGCAGCCAGGTCCGAGGTAGCAGTCCTCAGAAGGATCTGGTTCAGGTTGGGGTCTGCGGTGGGACGGGAGGACAGGCCTCTTCAGCTGTGGTGAGTGTGACTCAGCCCGAGGAAGCAAGGGCTGCTCCTGGGATGCCGGCCTCTGCGTCTCCCTGAGCACCTTCCTCCCCACCTCTCACGGAGCTGGCACACGGGGCCCTGCAGCACCCTGCGGATGGATGGAGGAGCAAAGCAGGTAACCTCAGCACAGAGCTGCTCTGGGCCGAGCCGACCAGTGCCCTGCTCCTCTCCAGGGCGTCTCAGCCCCGCCTCCCCATCTGCTGACTTGGACAGTGTGTTGGAGCCACTGCTCCTCCTGTCCTGTGAACTGAGGTATGCGTGGTTTCTATGTCATTTCCAGCATCCCACTTCCCATCTCTGGGATCCTGGGATGCTGAGATAGGGAAGGAGGCCACCCAGTCTGGACCAGGAGAGGGAGAAGGAGGCCCCAAGAGGGTAGGGCCCGGCCCAGCACCGTCCAGCAAGCAAGGGAGAGACATTCAGAGGTGGCTCTGAGGTCCTGGGCCACTCCTGGGCTGCTCTAGACTGAGGCTGTCCAGGAGGTCAAGGGTGAAAGTGATTTTTAAGCTAGGACCTTCTGTCCCATGGCTGCTTCATGCTCCATGCAGCCTGGGAGTGACTTTAAAGCGGCCACAGGTGGGGGACTGGCTGCCCGGTGGCCACAGCGTTTGCTCAGCACTTGGCCCTGACCACTGAGCCTCAGCAGGGCAAACCTCAGGCCTGGGAGCAGGGCCTCCTCTGCAGCCAAGGGGAAGGAGGGAGGCCTCCATGCCCGGACCTGGTCCCTGTGGGCTGTGGGGGACAGGCAGAGGCCAGCTTCCTGGACAGTGGCCCAGAAGGATGTGGCAGGTGGGCGGCAGCTGGGTGGCTCATCCTGGGAGGACAAGGCTGTGGGTTGTGCAGTGGGGCCGGGCTGTCAGGCTGCCCCCACCCACTCAGGCAAGCTCAGCCTCCAGGTCCCTCTCTAGAGGCTGCGTTTCCCAGAAATCTGCTGCTTGGGTCGTGAACCTCAAGTCAGGAAGGGCTCTGAGACCAGCTCCTGCTCCACTGCATGGCAGAGGACGCCCGGGCCCCACGAGGGGAGGGGACAGACCTGAGGCCAGCTGGTGAGTGGCTAAGTCAGGAGTGAGCCCCTTCCCCAGCGATCCATGAACCAGCCTTGGGGGCACTGCATCCACACATCTGTGCCCCACCAGACAGCGAGGCCCAGAGGGGGGCTGAGTGCCAGCCCTGGGCAGAGGGCTTGGCAAAAAACTGCCCTGTGGGTCTTTGTCAGGGTGAATGGCCTTCCTGCCCCCAGGTCTGCACACCCCACCCCCACCCTGCCCATTTGTTTGTGGCAGGGTCTTGATGCGAAGTTTAGAGCTTGTGGTGATCCTCCTGCCTCAGGCCTCTCCATGGCTGGGATGACAGGCTTCCCCCACCACACCCAGATCCCACCCCTTTGTGCTAAGAGTATTTTAGGGAGTCTTTCAAGTCCCCCAGGCCTTCATGCAGGAGAGCGCATCTCTAAGAGGGCTGGCCCAGGGCAGCAGGTAGGAGGGCAGTCCTGAGGGCCTAGGCTGGGATCTTGATCTGGAGTGACCCCTACCCCAATTTGCCTGAGACCAGAGAGATTCCTGGGGCACAAGACATTCAGTGCTAAAGGAGGCATATGATGGTCACCCTGGCGCTGACTCTGCCACTCATCCCGGCACTGGAAGTGGCTGATCCACCTCCTGATGCCCCAGAAGCATCTACCCTCTGTCCCTCCCAGGTGCCATGAGGCCTTAGAGAGGATCTCCTCTTCTCTGTCTCCCCCACAAGCACTAATTCAGTGCCTCTGTGTGCCAGGCACCAGGCATGCCCAGCTAGGAGAGGAGCCCAACTCCTGGAACCCTCAGCACGTGCACTGGTAACCAGAGCACAGGAAGATTAGCAGCTACCAAGCACTGTCGTAAGCATTTCACAAACATTCACTCACTGGATTTTCACAAAAACAGTAAGGTGGGGATTATTTTACCCTCATTTTGCAGAAGAAGAAATTGAACCTCAGAAAGGTGAATCAGCTGGGCACACAGTGCATGCCTTTCGCAGCTACTTGGGAGGCTGAGGCAGGAAGATTGCTTAGCTCAGGAGTTAGGAGCTGTAATGTGCTATACCCATCAGGGGTTGCACTAAGTCTGGCATCAATATGGTGAACCTCGGGCCGGGGATTTAGCTCAGTGGTTCCGGCGCCTGCCTCGAAAGTGGAAGGTCCAGAGTTCGATCCCCAGTACCAAAACACACACACACACACACACAATATGGTGACCTCCTGGGAGCGAGGACCACCAGGCTGCCTAAAGAAAGTCTCTAAGGGCAGGGGATTTAGCTCAGTGGTTCCACCGCCTGCCCCGAAATCACAAGGACATGAGTTCGATCCCCGGTACAAAAGAAAAGAAAAGAAAAGAAAGGCTTTAACTAGCCCAGGTCCAAGAGGGAGCAGGTCAAAACTCCTGTGGTGATCAGAAAGGTTAAATAATCTCTGTAAGTTAGGAAGAGGATGCTAAAAATGGTCTCTCTGGAAGGTGTCTGAGTTCGTGCAAGGAACTCAAGGGGCTCCTTTCCTGGGGGACTGGCAAGTGCAAAGGTTGGGACACCTGGAACAGCGGGGTGCAGGAGGGGACAGTAAGTTCACAGAGGCCCGTGTACTGACCAAGGGATGTCACTTATCCTTCGGGAGGCTGGGAGGCTGAGGAGGGATTCGAGGAGTGAGCGGGAATAGCAGGGGAGCAGCTGACAGACCTGGCAATTTAGGGATCTGGGCTGCCAGGAGAGCTTGGAGGGACGAGGCAGTAGCAAGGTGACCAACGAGTGCCTTCCGGTGGGCTTCCTGTAATGGTTAAACCCCGGCAAGAAGGGTGCAGTGACCACACACTGGTGCAGGAGGCTAATGTTCAACTGGGTCAGGGGCTCAGCCTCGGGCTAGAGGCTTCTTTCCGTCAGGTACAGAAAGGCCGACTGCGTAGAGGGAGGCTCACCCTCAGGATCCGAGACTGAGTGTTCCGAGGCGCGGTCCTTTCAAGTTGCCCTCCCACCCCTAGTGAGGACCTGGGGCCGGAGGGGTGCAGGGTAAACGGCCCAGAGGCAAGGCGGCGCCCTAGGCCGGCCAGGTCAAGGCAAGCCCGGGTTTCCAAAATTGAGCCCTGGTAGGGCCGGGCCGGGCCGGGCCTGGGCATCGGGGCGGGGCCGGCTGGGGCGACGCCCCTCTGCGCTGCGCCTGACCGTATAAGGCCGGCGCCACGCGCCCCAGCGGAGAGGAGTGGCTGTCGTCACAGGCTTCGCCCGAGGGACCTTTCCAAGGCCGCTTCCCGCTTCCTGCAGGGAACTGGGCCCCGCCCACCGCCTGGCCCGCCCACCTGCCCCCCCCACCCCCGCGCAGAGCCCCATACCCGCGGAGCTAGCGGGTGGGCTTCTCTGGCCAGGAAGGGAGGAGTGCTGGACCACCCAAAAGCCAGGGGTGAAGATGGGAGGGAAATCAGCGTTCTTCCTGGACAGCTGACCCACTGGGCACCTGCTAAGTAGTCAGCCCTGAACTCAGGATTCAAAAATGTGAATCTATCTAAACCGTAAAGCTGAGTAGTAAAAACTGGCACTAGAGTTGCAGGACTCGTGTTCGAATCTCTCCAGGTTGCTTACTGGCTTTGGGGACTGTGGGCTACTTATTTCTCTGTGCTTCAGTTTCCTCATTTGTGAAATGAGCTCATTCCTCAAGGCTGTAGTGAGTGTTGCGTGTTACTGTAGTTAACACTTTCCGTATGTTTTTGGTGATGTTATTTACTAGTTCTTGATAAATGGATGAAATGGTTGATCCCTGAAGGTCCATGTCCCCAAGGGGCAGAGAGGACTCCCGAATACCTGTGTCTGTGACAGAGAGCAGCCTCAGCCCGTGGTCTTGTTTGCCAGTGTTAGGAGGCATTTGTGCAGCTTTTAAAAATAGCAAGGTGGGGCTGGGGATTTAGCTCAGTGGTTCCACCACTTACCTTGCAAGCACAAGGACGGGAGTTCGATCCCCGGTACCAACCCCCCACCCCCCAAAAAACCCCAGCAAGGTACATATTTTTAATGTTTCAGTAAATCTCAGGGCCAAGAAGAATGGGCCCAGAGCAAGCTCCCCCCTCCACACACACCCAGTATGGTTATTGAACCCAGGGCCTTGTACACTCTCAGCCCTTTAAAAACTTTTTTGAGGCTGGGTCTCATTAAGTTGCCAGGCTGGGCTCAAACTTGTGATCCTCCTGCCCCAGCCTTCCAAAGTGCTAGGATTACAGGTGTGCACTGCCTAGCAGTCTAGCAGTCTTCCTTTTTAGCAAAAGAAAAGTCTTATACTGAGTTCCTTGGGTGGGAGATGGAGACAGGCAAATTTAACAAGACTATTTTTTATGATTTAGAGCTTCCATAGAGAGTTTAGAATTACTATTCATGCACAGATATATATTCACTTAATATTTTTAGTATGAAATGCTTGAAAATACACACAAGAGTATAGAGAACAATATGACTCCCTAATAATCACTTTATTTATCTATAGCACTGGGGATTGAGCCCAGGGCCTCTCGGATGCTTTGCAAGCACTCTACCCCTGTGCTCTATCTAATGTTCACTTTTAAAGTATATAAATGTGTTAACACATGAGTTGATTAAAAAGGCAAAGAAAATACAAGTGTGAGGGCAGAAGGGTTAAACTCTGGAATGTGCTAGTACCAGTGATGGGCTGGCACACGCCTCCCAGGACCACCCTGTGCCCTTGTGGGGTGGGTTAACTGGGCGTCTTCTTCCCATCTGGAGCCCGGCAGCCTGGAAGCCTGCAGCCCAGAAGCCTGCTCTGCCTCGGTGGCACACACCTGGGGTTCCCAAATGCCTTCTCAGAGCGCACCACTCCACTGCCTCTAGACTCAAGCCTCCTCGCCTGGGTAACTGCGGCCCTGTTTCTCGCTGCCTGCCTGGTGCAGCCCCTGCTGCGGACCCCAGAGTATGAGGAATATTCTAAACCATGACTGACTACCTGTGTCTTTCCTGTTTAAGGACCGCACCCCCCCCCCATATTCCCCAGTGCCAGATGGAGAAAGCCTGGCTCTTCCCAGCGCTCCACTGCAGCTTCCTCCTTACACTCTCTACCTGGGGCCAGTCTGAGCCACCTGCAGGTTCCTGAATATTCCACTGGTTAATGTTTAATGAGTTAGGCTGCTGCCAGAACTGTCATGCTCAGCCCAGAAGGCACCATCTGGTCCTCGCCCTGTCCTGGAGTTTAGTCTAGGGGGAGTTAAATACCAAAGTGTAACGGTAAGACAAGTGGCATGTGCTACAAAGGACTTACTCGGTGCCAAGTAAGCTCCACTCTTTTGCCTAGAAGACCCCCACCTGACCCCACCCTGCCTGGCCCTTTGCCTGGTGACTCCTTCCTTGATGGCTGTACGGGGTCATCAGCTCCCTTGGCAGCCCAGTGGATCTCCGTGTTGGGGTTCCTGGTGGCCTCGTGTCCCCAGGAGCTGTGAGGTACAGGCACACAGTAGGTGCTTGGCTGTTACTGGCTATTAACACAGCAAGCCTCTGCACCCATCTCCCAGCCCAGAGCACTTCAGCTTCTGATCCATTGTGCATTCACTCGTTTGCTTAATTCATCCACAAATTAGAGCGGCCAACTTGATAGGAACTAGTTGGTTTAGGGGGAAAGTGCTTGTAAAGAAAGGGCCATCTTGCCTGGCACCTCTGGGGGACAGTGCAACATTTACACAGGCGGCCCTGGATCCAGGCAGGTTTGGACGAAGAGAGTACGAGAGAAGGGAGGGTTTGAAGGACACAGAGGCATGAGTGTGTGCAGCTGCTGGGATGGGGCCCCTGAGCAGGTGGCCAGGTGTGTAGGCAAGGAGCTTCGGGAGGGGAGCTGCAGCCAATTCCCGCTCCTGCTGGCAAAAAAAGGGCCAGGGTTCGTGATCTCAGGCGGTGGCTTTTCGAGGCTTTGTGACTGGGACCAGGAGCAAGAAATCCATTACATCACAACCTGGCACAAGACAAAAATTTAAACCAGTTTCAGGAGAGCATTTATGCTTACTACTCAGGAGGCAGTCATATATATTGTCTCTTTGATTTTAACACTATCATCATTAGTCATTTTGATTTAATTAATTAAAGTACTGAATTAACTTCAAGGTCCACCAGGAGGGTCCTGACCTGCAACTTGAAAAACATTGACTTAAGTATCCTTCCAGTCCCACACCTAGTGATCTAGGAATGGCTGTGGGGTCAGGTCCACCAACCTCTTCCACCCCCTGCTCCCCATCATCAGAAGACCCTAGGGCTGCAGGCTTGGCTCTCAGGGGACAGGTTCAGACAAAGCGAACAGCTCAATCTTAGGCCACTTCCTCTGCCCTGTTTCTTCCCTGCCTTCCACCCTCAGTTCGAGAAGCCTCCACTTGGCCACCAGTCTCGAGGCCATGGGCTGGGAAGTAGGTGGTTGAAGGCCCAGCTGCTGGGTTTTAGCTTCTGTGCCATCCCTGGAGGCCGCTCCTCCCTTCCATCGTGGGGATGGCCACCTCGCCTGCAGGCCCGGCATCTTGGCTTAGCAGGGGGTGGAGACGGGGTCAGAGTCCCTACACTCTCTCCCATCCAGGCCTCTGTCCAAATTTTTCTTCCACCTGAGTTCTCTGAGGCTTTGGGAAAGATTTTGGAAACAGGGTGGGGAGGTGGCACCAACTCCTGGCCTTTAACTCTCAGAACAGTCGAGCCAGAAGGGATCTTAGAAATGGAATCCAGACCCCTCCTTTCACTGATGTGGAAACTGAGGCCCTGAGAGCAGCAAGAGCTCACTCAGATTACACAGGAACTAGTCTCAGAGAGGACTGGAGACTCAGGGCCTCTGGCTGTAAATCCGTCACTTTTTCTTTCCATTGTTCCATGTTGGTGGTCTGCACAAAGGCTTACAGAAATGTCCTATTCGCGAGAACCCCAGCTTGGGAGGCCTGCATCCTGCTGTGTTTCTGCCCCTCACTTTCTAAGGACCCTACCACGGGCCTGCCCTGTGTGGGCTGCAGAACAACGGTGTGGGACAGTGACATCCTAGGGCCCTTCCGGCTCTGAGCCTATGCTGCCCTGGCCTCTCTTCTAGGAGTGTGGGGTGTCCCTCCCCACCTAAAAGACTGACAGGAGGAAGATAAGGCCTGTGGGGACCAGTGTTCTACCAGGAACATGCTGCTTCCCTGGGGCCTCAGGGTTAGGAGAGTGGCTTCTAGGCCTTTCTTTCTGGAGACCCTGGATATGGCCTGAAATCTAGGCAGAGGTGTCCTCCCCCGCCCAGGGCAGTCTCGGTTCCCTAGGCCTTTGTGGCACTCTGCCTGCTCAGTTGATTTCCTTTTCCATGTGAGTGCCTCATCCCCATCTGGACCTGCAGCTTTTGGGGGCAAGAGCTGAAGTCCTGTGTCTGCAATTGGGGAGCCTCACAGAGGGGAAAGAGATAGGATCTGGCGTCTTGGTCCATTTCTTCCAGGGGTGCCAGCATCCTAAGAAGGAAGAAGTCATGCTGCTGGGTCTGATACTGTGCTGAGTGCTTTTCCTACATCTTCTCCAAGTGCCTGATAGGGACCCTGTGGGATAAAGATTCTTATCAGCATGTTTCACAGACAGGACACGGAGGCTTTGGAGAACAAAAGGACTGTCCAGGGTCACACCCAAGTCTCCCTGGTCACAGGCCCTTGATTCTGTCTCCCATTCCCATTGTTTCAGTGCATTCCTGCCATGGGGACACCCATCCTGATTCTCAGGTCCTGACCACTGAGGTTTTACAAAGGTAAACAGCTCTGATTGCTGGCCTGCTCTTCCTTCCCTGAGACCTTGTCATTTTGACTTGGGCTCTTTGATTTCCAGCCTTGGAAACTGATTCTGAGTAATTAAGCAGAATAAAAATGGCAGTGGAGGCTTGGATTGGAATTCAACTTGCTGAGCTGCTGGAAGGAGGAAGAGCCAGATGTTCAAAGGGCAGCAAACTCCCAGGGACACTTCTTCCCTGGGCCAGGTGGTTTCTGTGCCCTTGGTCATTGCTCCTGGAAGAGATGGTTTTAGGGTTAGGAGCATCTGAGCTCAGGCTCAAGAGTCGCAGACTGGGTTCATCTCTTCATCACTGGCTGAGTTTGGGGGCTGGATCTTCAGGATGTGGCCTTCAGATGTCATGACTCACAATGCTCTCCCTCTCTGAGTCTCACTCAAGGCTCAACTTCTGGGGAAGAGTTGGATTGTTATGGGTCAGGGCCTGTCCCTGGGATTGGTGGTCCCATCACAACCAAATGCAATACCAGAGGGGTGATCACTGCAGTAGTGTGTGTTGCCCATTCCACCCCCAAATTTATATGCTGAAATCCTCACCCCCAAGGCAGTGGCATAGGAGGTGGGGCCTTTAGAAGTGATTGGGTCATGAGAGTGGGATTAGTGCCTTTATAAAAGAGCCCTGAGAAAGCTCTCTTACCCCTTCTACCATTTACAGTAAGAAGTGAGAAGACCATCATCTAGGAGGAAGAGCGTTCTCACCAGGGACTGAATCTATCAGCACCATGAGCTTAGATTTCCAGCCGCTTGAACTATGAACTGTGAGAAATAAACATCTGTTGTTTGGCAGTTTGAACAGACTAAGTCTGTCACCAGATAGCGTCCACAGAGGTCCCCAAACCAAAGATGGAAATCCTTGACTCACCCCAACCAAGGGGAAGGTTGCAAGGTTCTCTGACTGCCATCACAGAAAAAGAATTTTTCAGTGAGAGGCACAGAGAGATTTACTAGGTGGGAGTTTTAAAGTATGCATTCAAAGAGAGAGTGTGGGCCCTGTGGAGGGAGAGAGGTGGTGTGTGGCTTCAAGCGGGGTATATTTATGGGGACTACAGGGTGTCCCTACGATAGGGTATATAGGCTATGTGTCCAAGTGTCTATGGGGTTTGTCCATTTGCCCATTTGCCCATATGGTGGGCTTATGCTAAGAGGCAAACCACTGATAGGTGTTTTAAACTGAGATATGCTCACTCGCCATTCACAGTGCTTCCTGAGCATGGGAGTCAGTAGGAGGGAATGCAGTGTACAGGTGAAACACACAGGGACAGATCCCAAGTTTACAGGCTTGTCTTTAAGACCCTTGGGAATATTTCCTGGAAAGGAAATAAGCTTGAATAACTTTTGTGTCCTGAAGCTGCAGTCTTTCTTTAAAAATACAATTTTAATATTCTATTTTAAAATGTTATATCCTATTTGTTTTTATTTCTCCTCTCCTACCTCAAGACAGTCCCCAAAGGAAGGGGTTGATCAGAAACAGGGGCAGGAGATGCTGAGAGGGTAAATCAGAAGCTCTGCACTCTGGGAGTCCAACCATCTTCCCCAGTCCTGGACCCCATGGAAACTGATTTCTCTTTTCCTGTTTCCCTTCCTTCTTTCCTCCCTTCCAGGCATACTGCTATACCCTGGGAACAAGAAGAGTCAGACCCAGCTAGCCTGGAGCAACTCAATGAATCAACAGCAGCAGCCATGGCTCCTCTTCCAGGGCAGCCCAGGGCAGGCACTGCCAGTCGATCCCAGCACCCTTTCCCTCAGACCCCGGACTCAGCCTCAAAATTCGTCTCCAGCCAGGGGATTTAGCTCAGTGGTTTCACCGCCTGCTGCGCAAGCGCAAGGACCCGAGTTCGATTCCCAGTACCAAAAATAAAATAAAATAAAACAAAGATTCATCTCTTCCCAGAGCTTCAGGCAGCCAGTTCTCATCAACTGGAGTTGGTCCAAATATGGAAACTCTTTGTTGTACCTAGCCAACAATATTCCTATTATCCCATAACCGTTCTGACATTTAAAACAGCTAACTTTCCCTCTACTCACCCCAAAGGAAAGCGCTCCTTGGTTTTGGTACCTGCAGCCTCTGATCCTGGTCTGTTGTTGAATCAACTCCTGGGTGGGAGTCCGCACAGTTTCTGCAGGCAGGAAGACTGTATTTGCGTCTCACCCCACCACCCCACCTTAGGTTTTAGATGAAATCTCTATGGCCACTGTGATAATTTACTACCAACTTTGTAGCTTAAAAGAAGGCAATTCATCATTCATCATTTCAAGTCCAAAATGACGCCTACAGGGCTAAAATCCAGGTGAAGGCAGGACTGTTCTTTCTGGAAGCTCTAGGTAAGAATCTCTCCCTGTCTTTTCCAGCTTCTAGAGGGGCCCACCTTTCTTAGCTGGCAGCCCACTCCTCCTCCTCTGCAGCCTCTGATTCATTGTCACATCTCTGGCTCTCTGGCTCTCTGGGCCTTTGCCTCCCTCTTACCAAGGTCTTTGTGACCTAGGTGGGTCCACTTAGATGACCCAGGATCATTTCTCCATCTCTAGATGCCTGACGAAATCGTGTCTCTCAAAGGTCCTGCTGTCACGTAAGGTTCTAGTCACAGTTTCAGGGATTGGACTGAGGCCATCTTGGGACCCATTATTCTGTCTGTCATGGGCTCCTTAACCATAAAATGGGTGTATTGATAACCTAATTCACAGACTCGCAGGAACGATTATGTAAGGTGGCTCACATGACACATCCGGCAGTGTGCTTGTCATCGTGAGGGAGATTCAGCTCTGCTAGGGCAGGAATTGGAGAGCATCAGGAGCCCTGACCACTGGCTCCCGGGCCTGTCATCCTTCACTTCTCTTCCTGCCTGGCCCCCTCTGTCCAGCTGAGGGGTAGGTGTAAGAGGGAAGTTGCTACGAAAGTGCCATTTGTGTTGTATGTTTTTCCTCATTCTGTGTGCCCCACCTCAAGGATTTTATAGAGATCCTCTGTGAGAATACATGCAGGGCCCAGTCATCTGGGAGCTTGGGGGGCTTCCTGGAGATGCAAACTCTAGGCTCCTCCCCCAGCTAGATGTGGGCGGAGCTCTGCCCCTTACCCAGCCCCCTGCAGTGATCCAGGTTGGATGGAGCTCACAGCGGGTTTTAGCCTCCTTTGGGTGTGAGAACACCTTGTGAAGTCCTCGAAGCTGCAAGGGAGCTGCAGTGGCATCATCCCCATTTCACAGGAGAGGTTGCTGAGGCTTGCAGGGGAGTAGTTTGCCTAAGGCAGGTGGTGGGTTGGGCTGGAACCCCAGCACAATCAGTGTTTTTTCCACATCACCGTAGGCCACCACCTGGGGACCTCCCTCCTAGGTGCCACCTAGACACAGGCCCAGGGCCAGGTGCTGCAGAGGAAGCCCCACCTAGCCACGCCCAGGGCTCAGCCCCAGCCCTGCCCAGGACCTCTCCGTCTTGTCCTGTCCTGTCCCGTCCTGTCCTGTGTCATTCAGGAAAGGGCCCTGCATTCAGCTGGCAATCTGGGGGTCTGACAACTAATTTACACTCAAGAATAAATGTCTGAAATGCCTCCAGGGGCTGCCTGTTCTTCCTAAGGGAGTGTTTCTGGTAACTAGGAAGGAAGAAAGTTAAAGGCAGGATTTCAGCACCTTGTCAAGACTGTCCAGAGGGAATGTGTGTGTTGAGCGGCAGGGCGGGTCGCTGTTCCAAGTGCAGGAAAACGGTGTCGTGGAAGCAGCACAGAGCTGCCATGGCTGAGCCATTGCTGTCCAGGGACTGCCCGAGCTTCATTTGCCTCCTGCATAATCCATCCCTCCGGGTTCTGGGGGAGGAGCCACCAGCTGGCCTTTATCAGGTGGTCCAGCTAGGGCAGTCAGCCGGGTGACAGATCACAGAGGTCCACAGGAGAATCTTTCTCCTTCTGGGGACAGCACCCATCTTATACTGTCAAGGACAGCCCAGGATCAGAGCCCTGGGCAAGACCCCACTTCCAGGAGTGCTCCCGGATGGTGGCCTGAGCTTTCAGCCCTGCAGAGGACTGGGGGGGCTCTGTGAGAGTGGGGCTGGCAGACAGGGGCTGGGATCTGGCCTTGCCTATGCCACTCACCGGCTGTGTGGCCTGGACGATTCTCTGGCCCTCTCTGGGCCTGTCCACCTCACCTGGAAAACCTGGATGAGACGTAAGGATGTGCAAAGGCCCACCCACCTAGACCTGTAGCCGCCCTGCTAGGGGCTGACACGGTCCCAAAGCGCATGTACGGGGTGTGTCTTGCTGTGGGGCCTTCTAGGAGCTGAGCTCCTTTTCTCCCCCAGGTGAATGGGGCTCTTGAAGCTCGGGCCCCTGCATCTGAGCCTTCTCGTTTTGACCTCTTCTGCCTGGCTCTCAGCCTCCAGCTCTGTGCGTCACTGTGCCCATCAGACCCACTGACTGGGGTCTGCAGACCCTGGTGTTCCTCTGGAGAGTGCTTTCCTTTCAACTCCAGGCTGGGCTGACACTGTTGTGTGAGCCCCGGGCTCCAGGAACCCAGCAAGGGACAATTTGAGGAGACCACAGAACAAGCTTTCTAGAACTGTGCTCTTGTTCAACCCCCACCCCCAAACCAGGTCCATACTGCAAGCCTCAGGCATCTCTCCAGTATCACTTCCCTTCCTGATGCTGGGCCTTTGCTCATGCTGCTCCCTCTGCCTGGAGCCCTGTTTCCTCCTCTGCCCCTGTGCCATCTCCCCTGGGAAGCCATCCCAGGTGCTGCCTCTTGGGAAACACAGACACACATGGCTGCTTCTCCCCTTGGCCTTGTGTACCCCCTCTTTCAGACCTGCCAGGATGTTATTGTTCCCAGCACAGTGCCTGGCACACTGTAGCTGGAGGGCAAGTTACAGTCTAAGGGGAGAGACCATGGTGCCAGGCTCACAGCTGGAGAGAGCCCTTCCCAGGAAGGCCTGCAGATAGCAAACAGCTGGTAGCTGGTGGTGGCTGTGACTCACCCCACCCCTGCAGGCCAGGGGATGCTGCAGACAGGCTGAGTCGGGAGGCAGGGGCCTACAGGAATTTTGATAAGGATAAGGCAAGCGCTGGAGTATTTCTAGAATGCAGGAGGTTAAGGGTGCAGGAGTCGGGTCAGAACAAAACTGCCTGATCATGTTACTTATTTATTTATTTTTTCTCCTGGATGAAATATTCACATGGTTCAAAATTCAAATTGTGCAAAGGGGGCAAGGCGAGACTTCCTCCACACCCCTGTTCCCGCCACCTTTGTCCTCTCCCCAGAAGTAGCCTGTGCCTCCACTTGCTTATCCTAACATTCTTTTTGTATTATTTATTTAATGAGCCGAGAGGGTCTTGCTACATTGTCCAGGCTGACCTTGAACTTGAGCTCCTCCTGCCTCAGCCTCCTGAGTAGCTGGGATAATAGGTATGCACCGCCACACCTGACTCTTGCTTGTTGTTTCTCTACATTTTTAACACATGGAAGCATATTATTCACACTGTTGCTCACCTTGGTTTTCCTTCTTAACATATCTTTACAGTGCTATTGTCTGAATGCTTGTGTCCCCTCCCTCCCAAATTTATATGTTGAAACAACCCTCAGTGTGATGGTAGGAGGTGGAGCCTTTGGCAGGCAATTAGATCAGGGAGCTGGTTGCCCTTGTCCCTTCTGCTAACTATGAGGGGCACAGAAAAGGCACCGTCTGCAGGGAATGAGCCCTCACCAGACATACAGTCTGTTGCTCCTTTGATCTCACACTTGCCAGATTCCAGAAAAATAAGCCACCATTTTCTGTTCCTTATAAATTACCGAGTGTAAAGTATTTTGTTACATCAGGCAGAACTGACAGAGAGCTTGTCGTTGTAGCCCATAGATAGCATTCTCAATTTTTCTTTGACTGCATTTAAAGGGTTGCCGGATAAAATATAAGCTTCCCAGTTACATATGAATTATTTGTATTTTCAATGAGCAACAAGTTCATTTTTAATATATATTTATCCCATATGAGATTTTGGACATTCTTAGGCTAAAAAAATTTCTTCTTTATGTGAAATTCAAACTTAGCCAGGCGTCCTGTATTTTTCCTAGCTTCTTGCATTATATGAATCAGCCTCTGGGGCTTTGGGGATCAGGTGCTAGACCGGGGGTCCCCTCCCTGCACCTATTTTTTTCCATGTGCACCTGTGGTTGAACCTAGGGCCTCAAGCATGCAAAGCACACACTCTACCACTGAGCCACCCCAGAATTATTCCTAAGTGGATGTGGGGTGCCAGGGTTTGGGGTCAGTGCTGGGTTTGTACCTCCAGGACTGGGGATGTAGCTCAGTGCAAAGGCCCTAGTTTCAATTCCCAGTATAGAAAAAAAATCCACATCCGAATATGGAAAACCTTCAAAACAGTCACTGTACATGGTTACATGGCCAAAGGTACTTTGCAGATGCGATTAAGCTAACGGCCTGGAGATGGGAGACTCCAGCTGTGGACAGCAGTATCAATCCACGCATGACAGTTCCAGGCTGCACACACATTCCAGCTATCCTTAGCCAGCTCCCACATTTGAATATGTCAGTTCCTTGCTATAAACTCCATTCTCTCCCCTCTCCCCCTAACCTATTGGTTCTACCCACTGAGTCAGGGGCCAAGGGAAATTGGCCTCCCCCGTGTGTATTTGAGACTACTGGGAATGTGGTCATGGTGAGTAGAGGAAAACCACCCCAGGAAGTCTAGCAGGCCCGGGGGCCATTGCCTGGGACCTGTGTTGCACCCAGGTCCCCAGTGACAGGAGATTGGCCCTGCTGACTTGGGCCAAGCGGCAGTTGCAATGGAGTGCAGGCCCCCTGCTCCCTGAGCCAGGCAGCTGAGCAAATGTGGGTGGGAAAGGGAGCAGCAGGGGGTAGGGGGAAGCGACCCAGAGAGAAGGACATTGTAGGGCCTGGAGGCAGGGACACAGGGTGAGGTCCCAGGGAAAGTGATCCCAGAAGTACTGGAAAAGCCGAATCATATGACCATCCCTGGGGATCTTGCAGAGAACATGACACAGCCACTGTCCTGGCCTCCTCTGTACCTTTAAGTGCAGCTCTCGGTACTACTGACTGAATGATCTGAGAGTGGCCTGGCCGGCCATGGGAAGCCCTAGAGTGAGGCACTTGACAAGCAAGTCACAAGGAGAGAACACAGGATCCCTACTGGGGACCGGGGAGTCAGAAGCTGGCGGGGAAAGGGCACGGGCAGGAGGAGCAGCCGCCCACAGTCCGGGACAGCCCTCAGCCGTGGGAGGCGCAGTGCTCAGTGCTCTTCCTGCCTCCACTCTGTCCAGCAGCCCCAGGGATAACTTTTTAAAAGTCCCCCTTCCCCCACCCCCAGTCATCAGAGTTGGGATCTCTGCCCAGCTCTTCCCTTTTCCCCTTGGACCTTTCCAGCCCTGTGGTTTTTGAAAACAATTTGGACCCTTCCAGAGCTTGGGAGAGGAGGCCTGGGCCCTGCTCTGGCCCTCTCAGTGGTGGTAAGAAATGCTTCACATTCCTGAGTTAAGAGGCTGGGGCCTTACTTTGCAGCAACAGGGGCGACCCAGAGGAGCAATGCAAAGTCAGAACTGACGCCCTTGCACCTTCCCAGCTCCCACAGGCCTGGGCTCAGGGCGCTGCACTGCCCAACAGCACCTCAGGAATGCACAGGGCCACCTGGGGCTGGCAAGAGAGGCTGGACCCCATCAGGTCCTGGGAGCCCTAGGATGGTAAAGAGCACCTTCCCAGGGCTTCTCTCCTCCAGGGAGATTCTCCTTAGTGTCCCCATAATGCCCAGCCTGGCCTGGCACCCAGGAGACGCTACATCCCGGTTTATGGAGGGGATGGGTGAGAGGGTGAGGGGTAGATGGACATGGGGTAGCAGGTTTGACCTCTGGGAGGGCTGCATCTTCATGGCAGAGCCCATGACCTGGGACACAAAGAGTGAGCTAGAGGGCCGGGGATTTAGCTCAGTGGTTCCACCGCCCGCTGCACAAGTGCAAGGACCCAAGTTCGATCTCCGGTACCAAAAAAAAAGAGTGAGCTAGAGACAGAGCACAGGGGCCAGGCACTGCTGCAGGCCAGCCAGAGACTCCCATTGACTTCGCTTACAGGCCTGTGACTGTGCGTATCACAGATGAAGGGACAAAGCCAGAGAGGCTAAGTAACTCCCTCAAGGGCACACAGCAGGTAAATGCAGGGGTCTGTACGTGTGGGAGCCAGAGTCCACTGCCTCCAGGGATGGGAGGTGGGAGTAAAGGCCAGGGTGGGGGGCAGTGAGGTGAGATGCTTGAGGGAAACCGGAAGGCTCAAAGCTGTGGGGCTGCCTGGCAGGGAAGGGGCAAGACACCAGGAGACAGGCCAGACGGGGTGGGGGTGGGGGGCAGGCGCTGGGCCAGATGAGGGCCAGAGGCTGTGGTGAGGAGCTGGCACTTTTCTGGGTCCTGTCTGTCGGACTCCAGGACGGTGGCCTTTGGAGAAATGGTTTGCTGCTAGAAGATTCGCTGGAACCAGCTAGCAAAGGCCTCCCCCCGCAGTAAGATCCCAGGACAGCCCTCAGGCCTCCTGGGCTCCAAGGCGCTCAGCCTGCTCTGGGACAGAGACTGCTTGCTCAGACTGCCCCAGAAGTGGGATGGGTGGGGTGCAGGGGCAGCAGGGACACAGGGCCAGGACCAGGGAGTCCTAGTCCCACCCCAGATCCTAAGCTCCACTCTGCAAAAGGGGGGAGCCCAGGAAGTCACTTTAGCACTCTGAGCCTCACCTCGCTGTCCTTGTCCACCTGGAGTGACAGTGGCTCAACGTGACAATAGCTGCTTTCTCAGCGCTCACTGGTGGATTACTTTGGTGACTCAGCGCTGAGATGCTAGCCACACCCTGCTGCCAAAGGATCCTGAGAAAATGCCCGACAGCCGAGCCTCCCTATCCAGGTGGCTCTTTACAATCTGCAAAGTGTGATTAAAGGCCTCATTTGATCTGATATGCACACAAACCCAGAAGCCAGGCAGACACAATTTGTCTTCCCATTTAAAGATGAAGAAGTGGAAGCACCAAGTATAGAAGTGGCTTGCTCGGGATTTATTCATCTTTGGGCCAACTAAGATATCCACTGGCAGCTTTTGACCCTCTGTTCAGTCAGGTGCTTATTTATTTATTTTTTGGTTTTTAAAAATTAATTTTATTGGTACAATTTAAATATGCATAAAGGTATTTGTTTACTTATTTGTTTATTGGACAGAGTCTTGATTTGTAGCCCAGACTGGACTGGAATTTGCAACCTTCCTGACTCAGCCTCCTGAGTGCTGGGATTACAGGTGTGTACAAGCTGTTTTTACTTCTCTCTCAAAAGAATATGTTTGCAAATGCTAGCTCCACTAATCTTGGTGGCTTACTCCAGAACCCTGGTTAGAATCCTACTATTACTACTACTGCTGCTACTACTACTAATAATAATAACAGATAATCAGTAAAGAACTGCTCTAGTTCCTACTCTGTGGCGGTACCTGCTTCATGCTTTTCCCACATTATCTAATTTAGTCCTCATGATCACTCTATACAAGAAGCAGGCAATGCTGTTGTTCCCGTTTTACAGATGAGAAAGCAGAGGCTCACTGTGCCCCAGACCCACACCTGGGAATGGGCAGAGCTGGGCTTCGAACTTGAAACCAGCCCATGTATACCTGATCAGCAGCCCTCCTGGTGCCTGCTGCCCTATCCACTCTTCTAGAGGCCAAACCCTCACTCTAATCCTGTGTTCTCAGCACTTTCTGCATGCACAATGAGGGCCCCAGGTTCCCTAAATGAATTAAGCTCTGTCTTATCTTCCTGCAGTGTCCTGGGGGCTTCAAAGAGTTGTGGCCCTGTAGGAAGAATGGGGCTACATGGTCAGACCTGGGTTTGCATTGCAGCTTCTCCTCCTAAAAGTGGTGGTGACCTTAACCTTCATCTCCACATTTGTGAAATGGATTAACAACCCTGAATACCTGCTTTCCCCCTGCCAGGGTTGCTGGGAAGATTAAAACAAGCCAGGCGGCAGATATTTAAGGATGTTAGGCAGCAGCCCCCTCCCCAAAAGATGTTTGAGTTCTAATCCTGGAACTTTGTGAACAGCTCGGGGCTTTCAGGTGGCAGCTGGAATTAAGGTTGTTACTTAGCCGACCTTAAAGTAGGGAAATTTTCCTGGCTGACCTGTGTGGGCCCAGTGTAATCACACGGGTCCCTGGCTGGGCAGGGGGATTCAGGGGGGAGGCAGAGGGAGATGTGACTGGGTCGATGTGTCAGAGCAATGGACGTTGCTGTTTTCGTGGTGGACAAAGGGCCGCTAGCAGCTGGCCTTAAAGGAAGCAGGAGCTGATAGGAGACCTGACAGAGCCTCTAGAAAGAGTCAGCCCCACCAGCACCTGGACTTCAGCCTGGTGAGGCAGACTTTGGACTCCTGACATCCATAACTGTTAAATGATATTTGTGCGTTTTAAGGCACCACATTTGTGAGTCAGTTGTAGCTGCCATTGATCTGTAGTGTTGGTTCCCTCTCCCATCTCTGGCTCCTTTACAGCCCCACTGCCAACCACTGTATTACACGGGTCTTTTCCTTTACTTCCTAATTTCTGGTGCTCAAGATGGAACCCAGGGTTTCATGAGTGCTAAGCACTCCCTCTACCACTGAGCTACTTCCCCTGGCCCTCTTACCTCTACTGCGTGTGCGAAGAAACAGGCTGGGTGGAGCCTGCTGCACGCCCAAGGCCGGCACACATGGTGGCTGTGGATCGCAGCCCAGACCTCTGACTCCGGATGGACGCTGCCCAGCCAGGCTGCCTCTAGTGGTCAGCCGAGCCGGGCACAAATATGCAGAAGTCCTGTGTGCCGGTGTGGGTGTGGTTCTCACCCCTCCCCCGCCTCTGCAGAACCCCTCTCTCCCACCAGCTCCAGTTCTTGTTGCCCTCAACCCCCAGCCCTTTGCCTTTATGCGTCCTTTTGTCTTCCCAGACAGGAACTGTGGTCTTTGACACTCTGTTCCCAGGACCCCGTGCCCTGCGGAAGTGGGGCTCTCCTCCTCTCCTCATGCCCTCTCCTTCTGCCCTCTTCCTCGTAAAGCCCCTCAAAAGTGAGACAACCCACTTTCCCCTGAGGGCCAGGCAGGCCCCTGTGCAGGCTGGGTGGACAGGAACAGGAGGGAAGCCAGGTCCCCAAGGCCAGCTGATGGTCAGAGGGGAAAGAGCACTTCCGGCCAGGCCCCTGGGGAGCCTTGTTGGAGAGGCCAGCTGGGTGACTGTGTGGAGCTGCAGGCGGGAGGAAGGGAGCAGGAGGAGCTGGAGGAGCCAGAGACAGAGAGACAAACGCTGAGATACAGAGAGGAGAGACAGGAGAGACCCAGAGATACGAGGGGTCAGAAGAATGGAGAAGGTCAGAGACAGGAGAGACCCCAGCCTCCCTCCTCCACCTCAGTCTCCTGTGGCTGTTGTGAGCCCACAGGCCTGGAGTCGGTGGCACAGCCAGGTGGCCAGGTCAGCTCACTTTCAGGCCCCCTATCAGCCTGGCCACTGAGCCCCAGGGAGCTGGCAGAGCCCAGGGAGCCAGCGTGATATGCTCTCCCAAGCCAGGGATCAGATGCCCTGGGGCTCTGAGGACTTTGGACAGAGTCTTGGGAAAGCCCCTGGCCCACCCTCCCCCAAACCCATCCAGAACTTCTCACGGGCCTGGATTGGTGTTTCTGGAACGGAACTTCTCAAGGGGAGAAGGAAGTGACAGACCAAACATTCAGGCTTTATCGTGGAAAGAGCTAGGCTTGGCCAGCTAACGACCAGAGTGCAAATCAGGATATAGAATCTACTTCCTGTGTGACCTTGGGCAAGTGACCTCCTCTCTCTGAGCCTTGCATAGTCAAAATGTGAGTGAGATAGCTTTCATGCTCATTGCTGTATTCACCCAAAAAGAACGGCAGGGTCCTACGCATCCTTCCGTAGGCACAAAGCACTCCACAAGTGTGGTGAGAGATGGGAATCTACGGAAGAGGATGCATGGTTTGCATAGAGTCCCCACCACTCTGTCCCCCTACATGCTCCCTCCCAGAGGCATAGCCCTCACCACCCTTTCCCCAGGTGCTGACATTCAGCCTCCGTGTGGTCTCCCTCTCTCTTATGCAGAACACTTCAGGTGTCTGCAGCTTGGATCTTCCAGCCTCACCCAGGAAGCTGTTTGGCATCCTTGCCCAGCACAAAATTTCCAAACTTTCCGTGCTGGGCTCACACTTCAGCTCCACTTCGTATGGGCTGTGTGGCCTTCAGTAAGTGGCTTCAGCTCCACGTGCCTTGATTTCTTCATCTCTCAAATGGGTTCATTACCGGGTGTGCTGGTGCAGGCCTGTAACTCCAGCACTCTGGGCGACTCAGGCAGGAGGACTGAAAGTTCGAGCCCAGCCTGGGCAATGTAGACACATAGCAAAACTATGTCTAAAAATAAAGAAAGAAAGAAGGCTGGGGGCGTAGCTCAGTGTAAAGGCCCTGGGTTCAATCCCTAGTATTGAAAAATAAGAAAGGTTGATGATAATGCCTACTGGAAAAGGTCATCATGAGGACTAAACATGCTGCTATGGGTAAAGCATTTAACAACAGTGCTGGGCAGAAGATGTACACTAAATAAAGGTAACCCTAAATCCCTCTAAGTCATCAGTGACCCTCCTGAGGACCTGACCTCTTAGGAGAGTACATTGCACAGTTTGCAGTGATGGAAGAGAGGGGTTGTACATAACATTTTCTCCCCACCACAAGTAACTTTTTCCTCTCATGTGTCTAAGATGCATCCTTTCCTTATGCTCTGCGGCTGCCTGACATTCCTGGAATCCCTTCCAACACTCGGGAATGTCCCACTTGACGATTCCCACCTCCCTTCCTGTCCTCTCCAGGAAGCAGCCCCAAGCCTGGGCTCTGCCATTGAGCAGTGACAGCACTCAGACCACAGGCTGCAGTGCAGGGGCCTTGCTGGACCCCTTTGCTTGGTGGGGAGATGGTGGCGGCCTTCGCCTTCAGGGCCACCGTGGTGCGCTATCAGGCATCTGGGATTCCCATTCTCTACAGCTGTCCTGGACCGTGGCCATGTAGCCACCCTCCCAGGCCTGATTCTCCATTTCCCTTACTGGTTCTGTCATATTTTTTATTGTTATTTCTGTGTTACTAGGGGTGAACCCAGGGTCTTCACACTGAGCTATATCCTCACCCCTTTTTTTTTTGGTACCGGGGTACTGGGGATCGAACTTGGGACCTTGCGCTTGGGAGGAAAGTGACAGAACCACTGAGCTAAATCCCTGGCCCTCCTCACCTCCTTTTAAGAAACACTTTGAGGGCCAGGGATTTAGCTCAGTGGTGCCGGCGCCAGCCTCGCAAGCGCAAGGTCCCGAGTTCGATCCCCTGCATGAAAAAAGACAAAAAAATAAGTGAACCGCAATTATTAAAAAAAAAAAAAAAAAATTGCTAAATTGCCCAGGCTAGGTTTAAACTTGCAATCCTCCTGCCTCAGCCTCCCAGATTGCTAGGATTACAGGCATACAAAACCACACCCAGCTTGGTTCTGTAATTTTCTTCTCTCTTTTTTTAAGACAAATTCTCACTATGTAGTTCAAGCTGATCCTGAACTCACTATGTAACCCAGGATGGCCTGGAACTCACAGTGACCCTCCCTCAGCTTCCCAAGTGCTGGGATTAGGTGTGCACTGCCACACCTGATTTGTAATTTCTTTTATAGCATTTACCAAGTGGTTCTAAAACTGGGATCCCACAACCAGCAGTAAGGAAGTGTTTAACAATACTAGGAACTTGTTAAAAATGCAAGTTCTTGGGTGCATCTGAGAGCTGCTGTCTTAGTCTGTTTGTTGTTGCTATCACAGAATACCTGAATATTACCTGGGTTATTTACAAATACCAGAAGTTTATTTAGGCTCATGGTTCTGGAGTGCGGGAGGTCCAAGGGCATGATGCTGGCATCTAGTGAGGGCCTTATGCTGCTTCTGCTCATGGTAGAAAGAGGAAGGGCCAGCAGGAGCATGTGAGGGGGGTAGAACACAAGAGGTGGGGCTTATCTTATACCAACCCACCAGGAAAGGTAATCATTCATCAGCCTCCCCCAGGACTCAGATGGGTCCACCTCCTGATGCTGTCACATGGAGGAATTGAGCTTACAACACATGAACTTTTGGAGGATCTGCTCGAACCAGAGCACCTACTGACTCAGGAACTCTAGCCAGATGTGGTGGTGCACACCTGAAATCCCAGCACTCTGGGAGGCAGAGGCAGGAGGATCACAAGTTCAAGCCCAGCCTAGGCAACTTAGCAAGTTAGTGACACCCTGTCTCAAAATAAAAGATAGGGGTGTAGTTCAGTCCAAAAGTCCTGAGTTCAACACCCAGTACTAAGAAAGGAAGAAAGAAAAAGTCAGTCTAGTGTGTATGAGGTGGGGGCACTGTCTGTGTTTCCAAATCTCCAGGAGATGTAGATGCTCCCTCAATGTTGAGAACCACTTCTCTCTCCCCTGAGTCTTTTAACTGAAATGCTGCCTCTGCAGCTGGGAGGAATTAGGACAGCATATATGACAGACCCCAACATGCCCTGGTGCTCAGTGCCTGTTATGATTTATATAGATGTCCCCTAAACCTTTATGCACTCATAGGTGGGGATTTGGGAGGTGAATGGATCATGGGGGTGTGATACTCATGAATGGATTAGTCCACTGAAGAGTTTATGGCTAAATGTAATGCTAGGAGGTGGAACCTGGTTAGAGGAGGTGGGTCCTGGGGGTGTGGCCCAGAAGGGTCGATCTCCCTCCTCCTCCCTTGATCCCTTTCTCTGCTTCCTGCCTCTTATGCTGTAAGCAACCCTCTGCCATTCCCCTCCACCCCACCACCCCGCCTTGAACTGAAACCGCTGCAAACTGTGAGCCAACATAAACCTCTCCTCCCTTAACTTGTGGGTGTCAAAGTATTTTGTCCCAGTGATGAGTAAAGTAAGACAGTGCTGCTTGGTGAATTTCTTCCCTTTTAGCCATCTCTCTTTTTTTTTGGTACCAGGGATCCAGCTCCGGACCTTGCGCTTGTGAGGCAGGTGCCAGAACCACTGAGCTAAATCCCTGGCCAGCCATCCCTTGATAACATTTGCATTTGTCAAAAAGTATGTTTTTTGGTTTGGTTTGGTTTGTGTCCATGCTGTGTGCCTGACACAAAGGAAAGCTTTCAGAAAAGTGCTTCAAGTCCTTTTGGAGTGGCTCGGGCAAGGTGCTGAAAACAAAAGGAAAGGATAAACAGCGAATTGCTGAATGGGGAGAGTGCTGGAGCAGGAAGGAACCACTGTGGCTTTAGGGGAAGGTGTCCTGGGAAGGGTGTTACTGAACTGTATCTGTGGAGATGAGTGCATTAATCAGGGCTTTCTTTTTTGCAATGGACAGAAACTTGACTCAATAGGCTTAAAGAAACAATGGACTTTATTGACTCACATCGGCATAATATCCAGGATAGGTATCTAGTTTCATGCAGGGCTGGATCAAGGTGCTAATGCAAGCAATGTCAGGGGGCCTTGGTCTCCATCCATACCTCCACTCAGCTTTCCTCCTATTGGCCACACACTTAAGTCTGCTCTGCCCAGGGGCCCAGAGTTAAGAAATTATACCCCATCATTTTAACAGACTCAGACAGTCCCGAGTTATGTCTATGCACCAGTTTGGGCCACATCCTCACCCTAGAACCCAGGACCAATAGCCAAATGAATGAAGAGTTCTGATTGGCTGGATCCAGGGTTATGTGTCAAGCCCTGGAGCCCCAGGGTAGCGTCGGGAGCAGCAGTGGGGAGTAGCTCCCCATATGGAAACTGGATAGAGAGGAAGAAGAGGTGCTGGAAAGGCAGAGACCAGCCCGTGCCCACTGCACCAAAGACAGCCTGGCAGTGATGAACAGAGAAGAGGACCCCTGAGGAGAAAGGCCCAATGCTTCCTACACAGTGCTGCAGGGCAAATCGCCACACTCAGCAGCTGAAAACAGCTTGCTTTACTCTCTCACCGTTTCTGTGGGTTGGGAGAGTTTTATGGGAACAGCTCAGTGGAGTCTGAGAAGAGAGCCTTTAGTGCCCTCTCTTTGGTAGTACTGGGGATTAAACCCGGGCCTTCACACTAAACTATATCCTTAGCCCCTTCTTTATTTTCTATTTTGAAACAAGGTCTCACTAAATTGCTAAGTTGCTGGGCTTGAACTTGCAATCCTCCTGCCTCAGCCTCCCAGAATGTTAGGATTACCAGTATGTACCACCATGCCAAGCCTTATGCTGTTGGCTCTTGAGGGTTAAAATCCCGTCTTGGTATTTGTGATTTTCCCAAGCCAGTCTTGTCCCTGACATGTAGCAGGCCCTTAGCAATACTTTATTGGATTGAATGGTTACATAAGATGATCTATCCAAACTCATTCACTCATTCACCTGTTCATTAATTCAGCAAGCAATGACTCTGCTTTTTCCCTGCCTCAGACCCCGAGCCAGGCTCTGGGCTACAGCTGGAGCAAGGACGAGACTTTGGCTTCAAGAAATCCCTGGAACAATAACTTGCAGCTGAGCAGCACAATTGTTTATGGTTTGTGGTCTGTGAGGCCCTTTTCCATATCCTGTCCCGTGATCCTGGTGTCGGACGTGGCCGAGACGAGACACTCAGAAACAGACTCTGAGGACATCCAGGAGGATGAAGACCCCTGGGTGAGGCCCATGGGCATCAGTATCTGGACTCCTTCCCAGTGCTCCTTCCCAAGGGCCACACTACCCAGCATGCACTGGGTGCTGACCTCAGAACACCACATGGGGCTCCTTCTTCTGTCTGGCTCAGAGTTTGGGAGGTCCTGCTGTGGCCCCAGTGCCACTGGGATGTCCTCCTTGTCACTGTCACTTGGGGCCCTGGGAGCTGGAGGTGCCTGAACTGTGTCCACTGCCTCCACCACAGGGCCGATAAAAGAGTGACCACAATCCTTTTTGGGCCACTTTCTTGGTCAAAAAAGGAATGTGGTCTTGGGTGAAAGGGGACGATATGGAGAGAACACCACTGAGGGACTTGGTCACTGTGGGGGAGGGGGGAGTCCCACCATCAGGTGCCTGGGTCTGTGAGGCTCCCTCTCCAGCCATGCTTTGCTCTGGTGCAGCCTCCTCCTGATTCAGAGGCCCTGGCTTAGCATAGCCGCACCCACCACCTGCTCCTGAGGCTGCAGCTGGTACTTGTTTTGCATATGGGGAGTCTCACTTGGTTTCAAGGGCGGCAGACCTGGATGATGGGTTTATTTGGATTGCAATCCCAGGCAGCTTAGGTAAAGGAGTGAGCTGGGGACACAGGGAAGGGAAGCACGTGCCATCCAGCAAATTCCTGCTGCTGGCAACTGGAGTTTGGCCTTGCTGGGGAGTCCTAAAAGCCAGTGGAGAGCAGCGGGTCTCAGTTGTCTACCCACAGGCAAGGGAGGAGGGCACTGAAGGACCGACTCCCATCAGATAGCTCAGTCCTGGCAGCAGTGTCTACCCAGGAAATGTCCCAGGTGCTGGCAGTAGGAAGCCCAACTGGGTCTCATCATTAGCATCCTAAAGGGTTGCACTGTTAAACACTTGAAAACTTATGACATAAGCCAAAGCCCCATTTCACAGATGGGCTGATAGTCTTAGAGATGAGAAGGGGTTTGCCTCAGTTTAACCTGAAAATTAAGAAAAGAATCAGGATGGGAATCCAGAATCTACATCTCCAGACTGTCAGTCCAGCAACTTAAAAGAAAAAGCAAAATTTAAAAATTTTGATTTAATCATAGACACAGGAAGCAGCAAAGAAAAACGTATGGGGCGACCTAGGCATCCTTCACACAGCCTCCCCTAGTGTTAACGTCTTGTGCAACCATAGTGAGATGCCAAACTGGGAAACTTACAGTACAATCCACAGAGCTTCTCTAGATTTTACCAAACATCCACTTGTCTGTGTGTGCATGTGTGTGTGTGTAGTTCTAAGCAATTTTATCACTTATGCCACTTTATGTATGCATAGTCACAACCAAGATAACCAACTGCACCATCTCCCAAGGCTCTTGTTCATAGCCACCTCCTAACCCCCATTCCTAACACCTCCACTTCTCTATTCTCCATCTCTATAATAATGTTATTTCTTGAGTGTTATGTGAATGGAGTCATGTAGTATGTGTCCTCTTAAGATTGGCTTGTTTTACTCAGTATACTTTTTTTTTTAGTTCATCCAAGCTGTGTGCATGCATAGTTCATTTCCTTTTATTGGTGAGTAGTAGTCTGTGATATGGATGTACCACTCTTTGTTTAACCACTCATTCATTGAAGGAAATTTAACCAGTTTGTAGCTATTACAAATAAAGCTCCTATGAACATTCATATGCAAGCTTCTTTATTATGGTAGATAGCGTATTGACTCCCAAAAGTGTCCAGGGCCTAATCTCTGGAACCTGTAAATAAGTTAACTTATATAACAAAAGGGACTTTGCAGAGGTGATTAAGCAAAGGAGCTAAATCATAGAAGTTTTAGCTGGGCACATTACTGTCCAAATAAAGACTACATTTCCCAGACTCCCTTGCAGCTATACATGGTTGTGTGGCTAGGATGACACATGTGAGTGAAAATGATGAGTGCTACTTCTGAGTGGTGACCTGGATTCGTTATCTGCTACTGCCTAGCAAATTCCCCCCAACTTAGCTTGAAACAACAAGAGACATTTATTACCTCACAATGGGCTAGGAATTTAGGAGCAGCTCAGCTCAGTGTCTATTAAAGGTGCTGTTGGGATGTTGGCTGGGTTTGCAACTACCTACAGGCTAACTAGGGCTGGAGGATCTCCTTCCAAGGTGACTCATTCACATGGCCATAACTTGATGTGGCTGTTGGTCAGAGGCCTCAGCTCCTTGCTATGTGGAAAGCCCCACAGAGCAGCTTGGGGTGGTCAGGGTGGAGTTTCAACTTGATTGGCTTTGAGATCTGCCCCAGAGATTGGCGGAGCACATTTCTAGGTGTGTCTGGCGAGTCATGCAGGAATGGCCTTGGGGTGCATATCTGGTCCCTCACCACTTCTACTCTGGCACTTTTCCCTCCCTCTGCTTCCTGGCCACCATGAACTAAACAGCTTTGCTCTGCCATGATGCCTCTGGATTGGAGCCAGCTGATCACAGACTGAAGCCATGAACAAATTAAACGTTTTCTCCTTTAAGTTGTGAGCATCTCATATTGTGTCCAACAATGGGAAAGCTGACTAATACAGGTAGGAAGACCAAGAGTCAAGGACCAGTAGGAGCAATCTTGGAGGCTGGCTACCAAATGCCCTTGATAGAAAAGCAGTGTGCCAGCCCTCTCTCTTTTTGGCTCTTCCCTTTGCCTGGAATGCAAGTGGATTGCCACTCTATGGCTTATAAGCACATGAGTAAGGCAATCCTCTTGGCCTGGCTGAGCAACAAAACAAAAGGATCCTGGGAGCCCAGCACTGTGGGTCTGCACGCAGCCCTGAAGCACCCACCCAGGGTGTGACATGGGGAAGGTACACACATCTGCCCTGGTAAAGCAGCCTTGTCTGTCCTTGACAGAGTCCTTCGGCTGATACATTGAGCATTGTGTCCCCCATGCCCCAGCTCCTTGACCTCTGGATCCCTATGAGGTCAGCTGGGGAGAAGGTGGTGTTGGGTTCCATTGGCTTCTTGGTGGGGGGGGTTGCTAGGAGATGAACTTAGGGCCTGGCTCAGCCATTAGCTCCTGCTCTCAACCCTCCTCTCTCTAATAGTCCAGAGAACAGGATGAGCAACCACAGTCAACTCCATCTTCACCTCCCAAAGGGCCCCACCCCTGCACCTGCCCAGCACAGGTGCCATTAAGAGCATCATTCCTTTACTTTAAAGCTTCCTAAAACCGTAGAACTTGAAATTGCCCAGGGAGGCAGAGCCCTTTAACCATTAGCATTGCCCTGTAGGAAAGTCTCTGTTTTTCTTTTTTTTTCTTTTTCCTTTTTTTGGTACTAGGGATCGAGCAGCAGGCGGCAAAACCACTGAGCTAAATCCCTGGGCCAAGTCTCTGTTTTTCTTAATCATCTGCCTAGATGTACTCAGAGGTCTACAAAACTCGCCCACCAATCCATTTGTTCATTGAATCTGAAAACGACTCTGTGAGTCTCATTTTCCAGATGAGGAAGGTGAGGCTGAAACCAAGATGACAGGTAAGTAGAGGAGACAGTGTATGGAGTTGGTGGCCTCCTCTATTTCCTGGGTTATTGGTGTTTTTCCACATCACAGCCCCATCGCTCTGCTCAGGGTCTGTGTCTCTCATGAGCCTCAGGCCCCTTGAGGGGCAGGGAATGGGTCTAGTTTGTCACTGGGCCCTCCGTGTTCAGTTTGTTGACTGACTGAATGAATGTATGCAGGTAACTAAGTCCCCAGAGGATTCTATGGGAGCCAGAGACATGAGACCACAGAAAGAGTGACAGGCTTTCCTGGCCAAGGAAAGCCAGGCTGTCTGCCTGTACCAGACTCCTGGCTCTCCTCCGAACTAAGCCTGGGTCTTTCAAAGCCAGGATACACTGAGGGCTTCCTACATGCTGGGTGACATCCTAAGAATTTTCCATACATTAGTTCAGGTCTCATGAGAGAGGTGCTATTATTGTTTCCACTTTACAGATGAGGAAACAGGCTTTGAACAGAAAAGCATCTCCCAGGCCCTTGAGAATCAGTGGTTCTGTTGAAGCCCATGGGGAGACTTGGTTGGAATAGTTCAGAGGTGTGTGGCTTCTGTCTTGGCCCACATTTTAAGTCATATTAACAATACACAAGAAAGATCTGGTCAGGCCAACCACCCAGGGCTGGCTACGCTGGTCCCCCTTGAGAGTCAAGCCTGCCTGGGGGACTCTGCCTGGTGGCTCCTGCCAGAGCCTCCCTAAGCAGAGCCCATGCTTTCTAAATGAACACAGACCCTATTATGGCCTGTGTTTGGATGTCTCCCCAAAGCTTCATGCTTTTTCAAAGGTGACTGAATCTAGATCATAGGACTGATTCATAGTGGGGCTAGGCTTGAGGGCACTAGGGTTGAGGGTGTGAGTACCACCCACCCTAAGTGGTCTGAATAAAATGAAAGGGGCAGAAAGAACTGTTGCCCCTCTGCCACCCTGCCTTGGAGCCAGCTGATTACGGACTGAAACCTCTATGAACTGTAAGCCAAATAACCCTTTCCCCCTTTAACTTTGGGTGTTGGGTAGTTTTGTCTCAGCAATGAGCGAAAAGCAACGAAGACAGGCACCAATCTTGGCAACCAAATGGCTTTTCTTCTGCTCTGTGGGAATGTTCACCCTTTCACATTCCCTCTGGTGACTCCTGGGAATTGCTAGGGAATTTCCACTTGGCCTGTGGCTTTCTGAGACATTAGTAGAGCTGCTTTTCCTATGTTTGCTAACTCCTGATTGCATCTCTGTCCCCCGCCCCCCGCCCCAGAGTCCAGCCCAAGCTCGGAAGGACTATGAGGTGAGCAATCCATGCATTCCAAGGTTGAGTCAAAGCACAGAGTCCACACAGAGGGACTGAGCAGGACATGGGACACAGCTGTGCCTTCTGCATGGGCCTGTTGACCCCAAAGACTTACAATCCTGGAGGGAAGACAGAGATAAACCAGCCACTGCAGGATACAACTTCACACCCATCACAAATTAGATGAATAGTACTCTCAAGTGCTGGTGACAATGTAGGGAAATGAGTGACCTCAAGCACTACTGTGGACATGGGAATTGGCCCAGCCATTCTGGAAAGTAACTGGCTGGTATGTCATAGAACTGAGCATGGGCATGACTTGTGGCCCCCAAATCCCTCTTCTGGCGACCAACCCAGAGGAGTATGCGGAAATCCTGAGAGATGGGCAGGGACAGCAGCCAGGGCATGTCAGTGGAGAGGACTTATGTCAGGGGACTTGGGGTTGCAGCAACAAACAAGCAACCAGGTAAACTCACAGCCATGAGAGTAGGTTGAGGGGAATATAATGGTCGGACAAGAGTTAGTGTTTGGAAAACAAAGCACATGCAAGAAATCCATAAAAGAAAATGTTGACGATCCACACTTTTTCGGGGAGGAGAAGGTGACTGGAGTGGGGATCAGAGAAGAAGGAAGATGGAATAAACAGGAAAGGGCTCCTGCATAAACTGCCAAGATCATCAGATGTGCTACACCACGAAAGTTACGTTGACTCAACTCCACGCATCTGAAGGTCCTCGGAAGTTAAGTAAAAGCAAGTAACTGTACAGTACTCACAAACAAGTAACTAAGCCTTGTTGAGACAGTCCAAGGGTTACTCCAGGCTCTGTGTTCTTAAATCCCAGATCTCCCTCTGGCCTTTGCCCAATGGCTCCAAACCAACCTTCTATGTTTGGACTCTCTTTTATCTTCTGCTGAGACATTTCCCAGAAGTGCCTTTTCCCCATGTAGATGGGCCCATGTTGGATGCCGCAGCATGCAGACTTGTCTGAATCACAGACAGATGATGTCTCCAGAGGAGACCCCAGCTGCAGCCAGACCAGGAGCCCATTCACACATCTATTTTGTAACCCACTTGCACTCAGGCACCAGGGGACTGATCATGATAAAGGACATCTGAGGAGCTTAAAGTGTGGTCCTATTACACATCTCAGCCCACTTAAATCCATTTAATCTTGCAGAGACATATAACATTGGCTAGGTGGTCACGGTGTCCCTAGAAAAGAAGTAGATGAGCACTCTGCTAAATTCTGACTTGGTCTATTTAACTAGAAGCCTAGGTTGAATGAACAGTCTAACTTGAATCACCAAAACAGACACAGCCCCTCAGTCAATGCCTAAACTTGATGTAGTTTATACACCAGAAAATTGTTATTCTTTTCTTTTCTCTCCTTTTCTCCTTTTTTAGTGGTTCTGGGGCTAGAACAGGCACTTATGCATGCTAGGCAAGCGTTCTACTACGAGCTACATCCTCAGCCCCAGACCAGATGTCTTGGATGCAAGGGTGCTGCTTTCTCTTGAGGGATCCTCATTGCCCTAAAAAAAGTCTGCTGTTCACCTTTCTCCCACCCTTTCCCTAAGGGATCTCTAGACTCTTCTGGCTCCAAACTGACATTATTTCCAGGGGACCCAAAATACCACTGTGATACACAGGGCAGTTAGAGTAGGGGCTAATGGAGGTCGGGTGACCAAATGGGTCCCAGACCATCCTGAGGTCATGTCCCCAGCCTCAGAACGCATACCTGGAGCAGATGCACCCAGCCACAGGCACAGCCCCTGCGGGGCAGATGCAGCTATTACTGTCCCATGTCACAGAGTGGGAGAGCACGAACTGGAGGCATAGAAGATTCTCGACTTTACTCATAGCCACACCACTGGAGGCTGGGATTCAAGCATGACAGCATGGTCCCAAAGTCCATGTCCTTCACTATGACACCTACTGAGCTTAAGTCCTTGTGGCTCAGTGGAGATAAGCAGCCACACAGATCACTGCAAGAGACAGTAGAGCAGTAGTGAGGGAGGTGGAGGGAGGGGAGGTGGATGGAGTCAGTAGTGTCCCCAGTCCAGACAGTGCCACAGCAATGGAGAGGATGAGCCGGAGTTGATGAAGGTATTGTGCTTGGGCAGAGGAGCAGGGCAGGAAGAGCCAGTGGGCTGAGGCTCAGGCTGTCCGAGGTTGGGTGGGAGAGATCACTGACTCACGGCCTCGAACAACCACGGCACCAGGGAGGGACCCATGGGGGCTCCCCTGGCAGGGTCCTGGTCCTGCCTCCCCTCTGCCTCAGGAGCCTTTTCCTGCTGGTGCCGAACATCCACATACATGTGGTTTCTGTACAAGCCTGCGGTTGGTGTGTAGCAATGACTTTCATCTCTGAGTAAACACCCTTTGGGTTTTATTTTTGCTTCCTCTTTATCCCTCCAGACATCTCCCTGACCCCCAGTGCAGCCCTGGAAGGAGGGCAAAGGCTCTTCTGCAAACACGGGAGTCTGGCAGCTTCTTGTTAAGGAGATTCATCCTGGTCACATGCATAGAAACAGCAGTCATTGGAGACAGCATTCTCTGGTCCATCACCAGCCAGCAGCAGCCTGGGGCACTAAGCCAGCCATAGGTTAGTGGGAGGAGAGGGACAGAGATGCACCGAGTGCCTTTCTATGCTCTCTCTCTTAATTTTCATTTCTATCTGGGAAATAGGCAGAAATTACCTGCAGAGGGGTAAACGAACTGGCTCCAAGTTGCACAGCAGCATGTGGGGGTGCTGGATTAAAAACCTTGGCTGGCTGGGTTTCTGTCCTTTCTCCTACCCTACTCTGAGTCTTGAAGCACAGAACACCCAGGGCCTTCAGCTTGGTGGAACTTGAGGAGAGAGACTGAGAACCTGGAGAAGCGAGAATCATTGTCACCCTCCCCCCACCTAGTCTTGCTCCACAGGGACTGGCGTGGAGGTACTCAGTGCTAGCTGTCCTGGGAAGAGCTTACTGCGTGCTGAGCCCTTGTCTGTATGAAGTTGTTTCAACCTCGCAGTTCTGTTGAGGTAGGTGCTGTTATTAACCTCATTGTTTAAGTGAGGATATGAAGCAGGGAAAGGGAAAGCAACTTAATCAAGTCCATAAAGCCCATGAGTGGTGGAGCTGGGACTTGAGAATAGTTAGTCTCCAAGCACCATTCTTTTTTTTTTTTTAAGTAATTATGGTAAAATATACATCAAATTTTTTATTTTAATCTTTTTTGTGTGGTGCTAGGGATTGAACCAAGATTGCTGCTCCACACAGCTACATCCCCACCCCTTTTTATTTTGAGACAGGGTCGAGCCCAGGCTGGCCTTTCACTTGCAGTCCTCCTTTCTCAACTCCACAGTGCTGAGGCCAAGACACGCACCACCACGCCCATCTCTTGAACATCTCCGGGACATTTATACCCGTGCTGTGACATTGGTACATTCACACTGTTGAGCAACCCTCCCTCCCTATCATCCCGCTCCAGAAAAGTAGAAACTCTGTATCCACTGGACAATAAATCACCTTTCTTCCTCCCAGCCCCAGCAAACCGGCATTTTATTTTCTGTCCCTATGAATTTGGCAACTCGAAGTGCTTCGTAAAAGTGACATCATAATATATTTGTACTTTTGTGACTGGCTTATTTCACTTGGCGAAATGTCCTCAAGGTTCATCCATGTTGTAACATGTGTTAAAACAGGCTTGAATAACACCCATTGTATAGCAGGACCACATTTTGTTTATCCATTCATCCATCCATGAACAATGGGCTTCCCTCCACATTTTTGGCTGTTGTGAACGTGAACACAGGTGTACACATCTCTCTTGAGTTTCTACTTCCAATGTTTTGGGATACATACTCAGAAATTCTGAAGCCACCCTAATGCCATACTTCTTGCCTCGGAGCAGAAGCCCGAAGTTCAGGCAATGTGGGCCATTCAGCGGGAGCGATCTGCGGACAGAGGGTGTGATCAGAAAAGGAGCTCCTGTCCACCCTCCACCCTACACACACACTCACAGAAATTGGTTTCTAATCAGCCGCACTAGTCCAGATGAGCCGAAGCACAGGACTCCCCTCTGCCTTGACCGGATGCAGCTAGGAATGTGCATATTTAGATGTTCTGCCACGGAGGCTTGGAGGCCAGAACCTGGCCTTGATGGTGCCTGGCCCTGCACATTAGGCAATCCTCCATTGCCTCTGTGCTTTATTTGCTCAACCCTAAGCCCTGGTCATCACACACACCCAGGACCTTAGGTAGGATGATTCACCCAAACACTCACAGTGCTTATAGCTATGCCCCACACATGGCAGGCACTCAACATGTGCTGAGCAGAGCCCTGTGAAAGTGGCCAGCAGAACACCCAGCACCCTGCTGAGGGTTGGAGTGCCTGGCTAGGCCTTAGCTCTGTTGCCTCCTTGGTGCTCTCAGCAAATGTGCTCACCTCCCTGAGCCTCAGTTTCCTCATTACTCCAGGATGATTATGGATTTCTTCCCAAGGAGGCGATCCAGTGAGACCCCGAATGTCTAAGATGCTTGTTATGGCTTGTCTTTAGATGTCCCCCAGAGCCTGACATGGTCATAGCTGGGGCTTTTTCAGAGGTGGCTGGATCTACAGTGAGTGATGCTGGGATTGATTCATGGTGCAAGGCTAGGCTCAAGGGCACTAGGATTAAAGATATAGTGCTACCGCTCCAAGTAGTCTGGCTAAGCTAAAAGGGGCAGCACTGAAAGACGCTGTTAGGGTCTTTTGTTGCTTTTGTGTGCAACGAACTGTTTCTCCTCCTTGATGCCCCTCTGCCATGTGCCACTCTGCTCTGGAGCCAGCAAACTGTGGACTGAAACCTCTACAAACTGTGTGCTAAATAAAGCTTTCTCCCTTTAACTTTGGGTATTGGGTATTTTGTCTCAGTAATGAGAGAAAAGTAACTAAGACAATGCTGCTTTACAACAGCTCCCCACAGGACACTGCTGTGCAGTTATATGGAGACAGGATGAGCCTGGGCAGGCATAGACACAGTTGATAATGACAGGTGTTAAGAGCCCTGGTTAGCTGGGTGTGGTGGCACACACACATCTGTAATCCTAGCATTCCAGGAGGCTGCAGCAGGATGATCAAATGTTTGAGCCCAGCAAATTAGTAAGACCCTGTCTCAAAGAATAAAAAGGGCTGAGGATGTAGCTCAGTGCGAAGGTTCTAGGTTCAATCCCCAGCACCACACACATACACACACACACACACACACACACACACACACACACACACGGGAGTTTGCTCCAAGCTCTATTATTCATTCCCTGTGGCCCTGACAAAGTTACTCTCCCTTTCTGAGCCTCAGTTTCCTCATCTATAAAAAATAGGTCCCAGGGCTGGGGATTTAGCTTAGTGGTTTTGCCGCCTGCTGCGCAAGCTCAAGGACCCAAGTTCAATCCCTGGTACCAAAAAAAAAAAAAAAAAAATAGGTCCCAAACTTGACAGCTTCTAGAATTCCCTGGTGAGCTTTCAAAAATGTAGATTCCCTGCTCTCATACTAGATATTCTTCAGTAGGAGTGGGGTAGGACCAAGGGCTCTGTACTTTCAGCGTTCTCCCTCTCAGAGGATTTCCAATCTGTTTTACTTTTGGCATTCACTGGACGAGATGACTCCGAGGTTCCTCCGTTCTCATGTCCTCTGATTTTAGAGTTAGTTAATGCTGGCCAGCAGGCTGGGCAGAGAGATTACGGCAGGCACAACGTGTTCCCCCAATATTCTGCCCCTACCCTTTCCCTTGGGCGGGGGTCAGATGAGTCCCAGCCAATGAGATGTGGGTGAAAGTGACATGTGTCACTCCCAGGACCCCACACCCCAGTCTCTCTCCCCTGCCTTGATGAGTACTCAGTGCACAGCCTGGTCACACACAGCCCGGTCGCACTGACACACACAGGACAGGTGTGACAGCTACAGGACAGAAAGTGGTCTTGACCTTGGCCTCAGCATTCCCCTCAACCCTCGTCCAGCGAACAGTGTGGAGTGGAGGTTGTCAGGCTCCGCTTGGCCCTGACAGGAGCAACAGAGGGTTGTCCAAGGCCAGGGGCATCCCAGGGTGGCTGGAGAAGCCTTGGCTGGCTGGCTGGGGTGGTGGATTCCCATGTGAGGCATCAGGATAAGCGGAGCGCTATGGCTCCCTGGTGAGGTGTTCGTCCCAGTTGGGTGGCATGGCAAGCCCAATGTGGAGGGGTGACTCACCCTGAGTCCCTGAATAGCGCTGATGCTAAGGGAAATCCATCCCCACCATTTCCAAACCGAGGTCATTTCCTTCCATAGACCGTGACTGCAGAGTAGCTCTGAGAATGTTTATCCCAGTGGATGTTTACACCTCCATTCAGTGGTGACCTTTGTTGGGGTTTGGAATTCTTCCCTGTTGATCTTAGAGAAAAAAAAGGACTCCAGCTTTCCATGGTAAATTCCGGCCAGGGTAGACAACAGATTATATGCTATATGTGCCCTCCCTTCCCCCAGGCAAAGCTCCAACCCATTTTAAAATGTAAAATGCCATCATATATTAGTTTACTATAATTTATATAATTTGTATTTACATTTTAAATTTAAATTATGTACCTGAAAAATGATACATTCTCAAAACAAAAATCCAGAAGGTACAGAAGGACGTGAGAAGCGAGTCATCCTCCCTCCCCTCTCCTGGGCCCCCTGTGCCTTGTTTCCCCTCCCAGAGTCAACATTTCCTTGCAAGTTTCTTCTGTCTCACCAGAGATCTCTATGCCAGGGGCTGGTAAGCTTTTCTAGAAGGGCCAGCAAGTCAGCATTTTAGACTTTTGGGTCCATGTCTTTGTTACAACTGCTTATTTTTGCCTTTGTAGCTTCAAAGGCAATGTGTAAACTCAGAAGCCTGGCTGTGACCCAGTGAAACCTGACACACAGACACTGACATCTGACTTCTATATCATATCTATCTCCTTTATCTCCTTTTGATTTTTTCCAGCTGCTTAAAAATGTAAAAGGTGACTATGATACTTTGTGCCTATAGTTTCAGCTACTTGGGAAGCTGAGACAGGAAAATCACATAAGCCCGGGAGTTTGAGATCAGTCTGGGCAACAGAGCGAAACCATGTCTTAAAAAAACTGTGAAAAACAAAACAAAACAAAACAAAACTGTGAAAACCATTCTGGGCTCATGGGCCACACAAAAAACCGATAATGGGTTGGATTTGACAAGTTTGTTGATCCCCGATATATATATAGGGATATATATATATCTCCTTACCCCTGCATATACACACATTTATATTTGGAAATTTTATACAATGTCCATAAAGTTTTGCTGTGAGTCTCAGTACTCAGGATATCAGGATATTCCTTTGGGCAGGACATGAACAATAGCCACAAAAATCCACATTTTAGTTTGCACAAGATTCTGAGGACTTGCAAATTCCCCAGGTTACCCAAGTTATGAAAATAATAATTGTAATTCACTTTGATTAAAATGTGAATTGTTTGTTCTTTTTCTTAAACACCACCTTTGACACTGGAGTTCGAACCCAGGGCCTTGCATATGTGAAACAAACATTTTACCACTGAGCTACTCCTCCAGCCCCTCTGTAACCTGTTTTAAAAATTGGGACTTTTTTTTTTCTCATCAATTTGGCAAAACTCTGTATATTTTACTAATACCAATCTTTTTTTTGTTGTTTTTTTTTGGTACCAGGGATGGAACTTGGGTCCTTGTGTTTGCAAGGCAGGCAGCGGAACCACTGAGCTAAATCCCCGGCCAACTAATACCAATCTTTATGGTTAATTTCTGGCATGTATTTTCCCTTACATTCCAAAATGATTGACAAAATGATTCTGAAGTTTATTTGCCAGAAAGAAAATTCTGAGAGAAAAAAAATTAATAGAGAAGGGACATTTCATCTCTAATATTAAAATATATTATAAAGCTACAATGATTAAAACCTTTTTTCTCTTTTTCTTTTCAAAAAAAAGTATCCTCCTAGCCTGTTGGGCATAGTGTTTGCCACACAGTAGGTGCTCAATAATTTCTAGTTAATGGGGCCAGGGATTTAGCTCAGTGGTTCCGGTGCCTGCCTTGCAAGTGCAAGGTCCCGAGTTTGATCCCTGGTACCAATAATAATAATAATAATAATAATTTCTAGTTAATGAACACTGGATGGAGGTTTACCTTCATTATACCATCTTCAAAATGTGAATGGAAATAAAATCTTAACATTAATGGGTAGGAATTACAAGGAAACAGAATCCAGGGCAATTTAAAGACATTTTTCTAATAATAATAGTTCATTAAAGTCTATTGTGTACCGGACATACACACTTTCCGTGTACCATCTTACCAATTCCTACATTGGCCCTGTATAGATGGTGTATTACAGGAGAGGAGAGTTACCCTTTAACGAGTGAAATAACTTGTCCAAGGTCACACAGCAAATAAAAGGTAGAGCCAAGACCAATGTCATGCTTTTTCCAGTGTGCCGGCTGCGTCACTGTATAACTAATTAACATTGGTATAATGTTTTTCTGTTTACAAATACATATCACAACTCATCTAAGACTCATGACAACTTGCTAAGCATTATTGTACCTAGAAGACAGATGATGAGACAAGGTTCCAAGAGTCCCCTAGGTCCCAGCTATCACATGTGGCCTGGCCCTGTGCCGAGGGCATTATAAACCCTAACTCTCATTTAATCCTAATAGTGCGTGTAATTCTTTAGCATTAAAGAAAGTAAGAGTCAGAGGATGAAATGATTTACTTGAGATCATACCATGAGCAACTGGAAAAACCAGCATTTGAATCCTGGTTTGCCTAATCTCTAAGAGGGGTGTGTGTGTTTTTGGTGCTGGAGATTTAACCTAGAACTCTGCATGTGCCAGGCAAGCACTGAGACACACCCCCAGCACAGATAGTCTGCAAGGGTGGGCTCCCCTGGCGGTTTCCATTTGACTAGCTCCGCGGTCTTCAAATCAGAGCTGGTAGGGTAGTTAATATTCCCAT